TCGCATCACTTTCCTGGGCACGGGGTGCGGCTATCCCTTCAAAGTATCGCAACGTCACGGGCATGTACCTAGAGCTACCGACTGGAAGAGACGACGAGGACTGGGCTGGCCTCATGTTGGACTGTGGAGAAGGCAGTTTGGGCCAGTTGTATCGCTACGGGGGAGGAGACAAACGCCGGCTTCAAGAGCTGGTGGATCGTCTCAAGTGCGTCTGGATCTCGCACAACCACGCGGATCACCATCTGGGGCTGCTGCGACTGCTAAGCGCGCGTGCGTCCACCGTGGAGGAGCCGCTGCTGGTCATCGGACCGACGCCGCTACAGTTCTGGCTGGACGAATACGCGGCGCTCGACCCGACGGTGCGCAACAAATACGCGTTCGTCGACAACTTGAGCTTCGACGAGAGCGATTCCCGCAGTCAACAAGTCGAATATCACGTCAAAGCGGCTCGTGCGCGCGTGTGGCTGCGAGAGACGCTCAACATCTCGCAGCTCGAGTGCGTCCCCGTCAAGCACGCGCACCAATCGTATGCCGTCGTGTTGACGTTCGTGAACGACGCCAAGCTGGCGTTCTCCGGAGACTGTCGCCCCAGTGAGAAGCTGGCGGAGAAGGCCACGAACGCCTTCCTGATGGTCCACGAGGCCACATTCGAGGACGAACTGACCAAAGAAGCCAAGGACAAGGCGCACTGCACCATGGCCGAGGCGATTCAAGTGGGACGTCAAGCCAACGCGCGGCACTTGCTGCTCACCCACTTCAGTCAGAGATACCCCAAGACGGCTGTGCTGTCCAGTTCTAGTGCCGAGAGCGCCATGGACGTGCTGACAGCCATCGACATGTTGTCTCTGCGCTTCCGAGAGCTCCGACAGCCGCAGCTCATGGACGTGTGCACGCAGCTCATGACACAGGACGACGACGAAGACTCCGAGGCTGCAGCGAGTCACACGGCGCAGCAACAACGCCAAGAGAGGAAGAAACAAAAGAGCGTCGAGCGTACAGCCCAGTCCTAAAGCAACAACAACAAAGACTCTGCATTTGTGCTGCCATTGTGTTTCCCACTTACCTACAACGCCCCATCCACGACGCCATCACGAGAATACTCACGCAGCACCGCAGGGATGGACGTCGGAGGGATCATCCCCAGCTCCGTGACCACCATAGACACGTAGTCGATCGGAGTCACGTCGTACACGAGGTTCAGCAGCTTCAGGTCGGCCAGATCGCGCCAGTCCGACAAGACGTGGCTGCTCGAGACGCCGCTAATAGCGTTCCCCGCCGCGCTGCCGCCTGTGCGACGTCGAGCGTGCAGCTTGTCGATGCAGTACGAAGACACCAGCTCGTCCGGGTCTCCCAGTTCGTTGTGCGTGATGGCGTCCAGCTGCACGCGGTCCGAGAACTTGTACGTCTCGCAGCAGAACAGCACAGGGACATTGGCTTCGTGCGCCGTCATGGCCACCAGCGCCGTACCCACGCGCGCCACAGCCACGCCGTTGCTCATAAAGGCGGCCGCGCCCAAGAACACCTTGGTGACCTCGCGCATAATGTACGACAGGGCGTTGATCTGCAGGTACGAGCACTGCAGTCCAGCACTCGCGAGCGCACCGACCATCTTCCTGCCTTCGAAGTGCGGACGCGAGTCCACGACGATGACCCGCAGCGTGGCCGCGACCTCGGGCGACGAGGCGGCGGTCTCCAGCAGCAATTCCTCCACCACATTGGCGCGCGCGTACGTCAGGATGACGTCTCCTTTGCGGATCTTGGACTGCGCGTTCTTGACCACCGCGCGAGACGCCAGCAACACGCGGCTCTGCACGTAGTCGTCCATCTCTTCTCGGATCCGGCGCTTGGCTTCCTCGTCGCTCAGTTCGGGCGGCGTCGAGCCAATCACGCGACGAAGACGGCGGATGGCGTTGCCCATGCCGATCCCGTGCGGCCGGCAGTCGATAAGGTACTGAATTAACGGACGCAGACGTTTGTCCAGGTCGCGCCGCAGTTGTTTATCAGGCGGCGTCACATAGTCGTCGATCACTTGCTGAAAGGCGGTAATCATTGCGATACAGCGCGCATTCCCGCCCGAGATTTTGCCCTCTGCGTACTTGAGACCGAGCGCCAAGACGGCCGCGTGGACTTCCTCCTTATTGGAGAAACCCACGTTGAGGGACAAGGAGCTCTCGCGCTCGTATTGAGGCAAGTGGGAGAACATCTCCACCTGTTTCTGAGCCTGCGTGCGCACCACCACAGCCGCCTTGGAGCGTCGGGCCATGCGCTTGGCGTCGTCGTACTGCAGACGCACGTTCGTGGGCGTCGGCGCTGCCGTCTCCGTCTTTTTGGGCTTAGTGGGCGCCGTCGTGGCCTCTTTCTTCTGCCTGTTGGCTTCCTGCTGGGCGCGACGCTCGGCTTTCGACAGTTTCTCGCGCTTGGGGACGCCCCCGGCCTTGGCGAAGGCCTCGGCGGCGAGTTTCTTCCTCTCGGCCTTGGAGAGTTTCTTCGGGTCGTCCACGGGGTTCAACGTGAGCTTCTCCATGGGCTCGTCGACGGGAGACCAGCCTTCGAGTTTACCTCTGGATGATACGTACTGGTTAGGAAACAAAAAAATAGTATACTACTTTGTGCGTGTATCATATCAGACGCACTCGTAAGCTTCGTCGAACTTTTTGCTCTTGTTGCGTTTCTTCTGGTTTTTGTCGTCAAGCATGGACTCTGGAAGGCGGTAAATGAGGGTTTTAGAAGGTGGAGGGGGTGCTGTGAGGAGAGTAGTGACCTACCGAGGTGCTTGAGGTCGGCGCCGGGCTCCAGCACGGGCGATCGAGCGTCCGCCATGACTGCGCGTGGGTCACTTGGAGTCTATCAAACCAGCCAGTGATTCTCGATCGGATTGGCTCGTCAAGCTGAGCTGCTATTGGCTCCTGAGTTTTTAGGAAAGTACCGGTAGTTTTACAGTACACGGCAAACCTCTTACCGGTATGCTTTTTGATCAAACGATTGGTGTCTCAAAATTTGTGCGATTTAAACGTAATTATTCAAATCTGGAAAGTTTTGGAAATTAGACAAAAACTTTCAAAAGCCAACTTCCGATGAAATTGGGTTTTCATGACGATACGCCGCAGAATCCAGCTATTAGTCGGTAATATCTATATTTCTTCCCACGTTTAGCTGACTTTTTCTCTATCGTATCAAGCTCCAAGCTAGACGGTGTTTTCAAGGAATTAACAAAAAGCGAGTCTACCAGTTCGGTGAAATCACAACCTATCAATACGACAGGATTTCACGATCTACGAGTTCATTTTAGACAGTCTCATCTGTTCCAGTGTGTTTCGAAATGATTTCCTTCAGTTGCCATTTCGTTTCTTCGCTGAAGGTCGTCCTGTCTTCTAATGTTTTAAGGTGCACCAGTATCCTCTAGTAATACAGCACCACTGTGACGGGGTTGAAGCTCTGCACAAGCAAATCTTCACAATCATTATAAACAAATAGCGTGTACTTACTAAAACATACTCTTTGAGGGAAACTTAAGTTAATGTAAAACAGCTAAAGCAATAAAACTTGAAGCCTTCGTTCTTATTTAAAAAATATAAAAAGTATGACCTAACCGACTTATAGCACAAGAACTGTACTGTCATGCGGGCAGGCCGTGGTAAGAGCTATAAAGGACAGGTGATGAGAAATCGTACGATAATTTTCTTGACCTGGTTGCCAGTCTTACTTCTGGTTAAAACGATCGCCTACGCTGCACTTTGAGCCAGGTCGATCGGAAAAAGGATTTCCTTGCTGCCCGCTATCACGAGATGCGCCGTATTGTGACAAAGTGTGTGCTTCAATGCTGTGCAGCGTCTGGTATCAATACAAGATTCTAGCATGTGAAGAAGCTGTATTTAATTATGTACTTGCTCAAAAAACATGTTATTGTGGACACACCGTGCTCTTAACCCAAGAAGAGCACGAGATATCAGAACAGTCCCGCACGCCAGTGGCCATTGACCTGACCGTCGAGTGACGCGGTTAGCGTGGCGGACTTTTTTTTTTCAGCACACAGCTGTCAGACGCTGACATAGTTGGTGACGAACGGTGGCGAGAGGGACTACAGGTACTGAGTGAAGAGGGAGACGTTGAAGATGCGAGCAGTCGGCTGACGTCGACTGCAGAAGATCATACAAAAGGTAGAAAGGTAGACAGCGAAGTTAGGAAGGAGAGCTCTGTGCGTGCAACTGGCCGCATACCTCTCAGCTGCAATTTGGATAGGAACGGCACAGGTAAAGAAGCTAATAGATACTTACTCCGCATGGGGTCTGGCAACCCTACCCAACAGCAAGAAGAGGTTTCCAATCGCTGGACGGGTCGACGTGCAGCAGGACGAGTAAAGCAGGCAGGGTAGAGCAAAGAGTGCCAGAATGATAAGTGCGTGCATAGAGTAACTGTGGTCCATGGGGCTGGGAGGCGCACTTCGTGACGATGCAGCGCATCTCAGGATAGTTGTCAGCTAGGAAGTCCTCATCGCTATCCACGTGATTCATTGTGCACCGAAGTAGATTTTTTTTAACCCGAACATACAAGGGTAGAAGCTCAAGAAATGCATCATTCGATTCGTCGTCTCCTGTCCTTCATAATTCTTGCCACGGCCTGCGCACACGGCGCCGCACATTATCCTGCTCCATGGACCGAGTTCGGTTGGCAAAGTGCTCACAAACATAGTTTTATTATATAAAGTTAAAAGAGCTCAAGAGTTTTAAATTCGCAGGAGATAGTTGTCCTTCTTCTACTTTTAGTGGGCGTGGCCCTGCCAATAGTGGAATTCCTCTATTTTTGAGTTAGTGAGACTTTTTTGTTTTTAAAGTCCCAATTCAAATAATTTTTGTGCTGTATTCCAATCTTTTAGTGGTGCATCCCAAACTTTTAGTAGACAGGACAGTCCTCCTTAATTAGGACGCATTAATGTTCAGTTTAGCACGCTACAGCATATTAAAGGTCCCTCTAATAAAAACCACACTTCAATAGAAAACACGGTCACTCTCGTTCTTTATTGACTCTTAACATAGCGATAGGACATCTTTCGACCAATCCCCAAGTAGTGATGAATTAAACTAAGTTCTAAAACTGCTTATTCGTTGAATTACCACGTCTACATGATAACCTCGTCGAGGGTCGCATTGGCGATTTCTACAGCCTCACTGGAGCACGGCAGCGAAAGAAGCAAGTCACCTAAGCGCACCCACCTGTCCTTGCCGAGATGCGCGATCTTGTTCTCGTTTCCGCCTCAGTTTAACATAGCTTGTTCTAGCACGGACTGTAACGTTGAAAAATACTTGCTTAGTGTCACCGACCCGAGCTCTGAATATGCCGACACGACTGCTGCAACAAGCCGCTCCACGTCGTACCCGCGTTTCTGGTACTGAAGAGTTTGGATGCTTGAGAAAAAAAAACATATCCAATGCGTTAAAATCTGGGCTGCGTGGCGGTTGATTTACGAAGCTGATCTTCCAACCGTCGAAATAACAGGCTGCTTTAGAGTATGCACTCGTGTGCGGCGTTGCGTTATTCTGCTGTACCGTGACCGGTTTAGACCCTGAACAGGATGCAAGACAATATTCAAGCTAAAACAAAATATGTGTAACTTTTTTTTACGGTAATGACGTACCTAGCCTCTTGACCTTAATTGCGGAAATGACCTTCTCGATGCGGAAACGTTAGTCGTCTTGGCGATCGAGAGACACTTAAGCTCAGGCGTACCAGCGGGGCGGTTTTTGGACGAGCGTTGAGCCTCTACCATCTCCACAAATGGCCAAATATTCAGTTTGCCATCAAACCACTTGCGCGTATGGTGTTGTTTTTGCGCTCTCCAACCTTAGCGGTCGGGCTAAGAGTTGAGTGTACACGCGGGAGGCTAAATCTCTGGATGTTTCACATCCTGGACTCAGCTGTGCGACCAGCTCCGAGCCGCGTTCCTCCCGGCGAACTTCGAGTACCGGCAGCGTTCGCGCTTCCTCTCATGCAATCAAGAAAGGCACGAGTCGTACAAAACAAGCGGGATCTCATGGCATTCCTAGTGGGCAACCCACGTCAAGGTGACTGTGTTCATGGACGGCCTTCGAGTGGGCCCGCCGCGCACTCAGCTGTTCCGGGTGCAGTTAAGCTCCCTCGAAGAGGCAATTTAAGTGGCTCTTTAAGAAGAATACAGCCATCGCCAGGCGCGCACGCCGGCCTCAGCATGGCCAGGGAATTCTGTGTCGAATCCCTGTCGAGCAAACCCCACCGGACCAGCTCCCATGGAACTCGAGTCCGCCGAGCAGCGCGACATTCGCTGTTTCGGCTGCGTGAAGCTGGGCCACTTCAAGCGCGACTGCCCCGCGAAGAGATACCGCAGGCGGACTTTTCCCAAGCCCGCCCTCAAGGGTCACTGGCAGAAGCCAAGATCCCCAAGACAGGGGAACGCCGGAAACCAGTAGGGGCGGGGTGCCCTACTGGGGAAGAACTAAGTCTTCGTGAGGGGTGCGCACGGGGACTTAGTCCCCGAGAGTCTTCGCACTATCGAATCAGCGAAGAGCAGTGGCGGGCTGCTTGTATTACACAGATGTGTACGGGGATACGATCACTTCTTTAGAATCTTGATCGATTCTGGGGCGTCGAAGAACTTCGCACGCCTGCTGACGGTTGCTCGTAATAGCAACAAGTTTCTTCGACGTCATTAACTCGCTTCTGGCTTCCGAGCGACGGAGCATCGAAATAAGGCGGGCAAGGGAACGAGACAATGCAGAAGCCAGGGCGCAAGCTGCTGTAGCTGCGAGCGGACAGCCCCCACGCCGCCACTAGCGTCGTCAGTAGCCACCATCCACCCCTGTCAGCAATATCGCACAATTCGTTTTCTTTTTCACGCTCTCCGGTCATGCATCGTTGCCGCCATCCAATCCACGATTCGTTGATGGCAAGTTGCGCACTTTCGCGACTTTTAGCGTCACAACCAGATTTTCTTTATCTTCACAATGGTTTCTTTTTTTTTCTTGCACAACAGGCGAGTGCTTCACAGAGCAAATAAGCAGGGCAGGAAGCTGTATTGAAGTCTGCTTAAACCCGAAGTCCTGGTGCCACCAGGGCACCACATCACCAGACTGTACGATGCTTTAAGAGAAACAAAGGCAACGGGACAGTGACAGTGCCAGTGCGACTGGTCGACGGGAAGGTCGTCACTGTCCCCAACATCAAAATGGATCTGGCCGTCAAGTTCGAAGACTTCGACAGCCCAGAACAGTTTACTGTTCTCGACGTGGATTCCTACGATTTGATGATCTCTGCGATTTGATGAAGCACGAGTCCTGGATCGACTGGCGAGGCAAGGCAATTGATGCCATCCGCCCTGCAAAGTCCGACAGAGCATTGGTGAATCATGCTCCTACCTCTGTCAGGACCTGGGGCGCCCGCAAGGACTGCCATGGTACTGAAGCATCCGGCGGATGCTTGGGAGTCGTCAACTTATATGACGACTTCGAGGAAGCTTCGATGGTGGCAGCGCTAAGAGGCGCTGACCAAGTGGGTAGCTTAGGTCCACAAGCGGGTAACATAGTCCCGCAGACAGCTGCAGCTGTCACGAACGCTGGTAATATCGTGCCAAAGGTGGGTAACACCGTGCCACACGCGGTTGCCCAGACCTTAACTGAAGAGGAAGACGTTGGAAACGCTTCCTGTGTGGGTAGCACAGTGCCACACGAGGCCTCGGGTGCCTCGGATGTCGACGTCACGACATCCCCAGACGTGAGTAACCAAGTTCCACTTCGCGGTCGCCGTCGACAACGACGACAACGCGGCCGGTGGAAGAGTGTTATCACATCTTCGATGGCGAGACCAGTTTACCCGTCAAGGA